AAAATGTGCGTATCACATTTGCACGCACGTACATCTGTTTTAAAATTTCTTTCACACGTCGAGTCTATTAAATCCGTCTTTTTCGGTAAGTGAAATTCGAAGCATCGTTGGTTTGCAAAAAGTGTGAAGTTTTCAACACACAAACTGAGCGTGTACTAATATCTGCGACTGATCTCGTGAGTTAATTCAATTTGATAAATGACCATGGCCTCGGTCAAACTGTTCCACGTTGACCATGCACTGTTGCTGAAAAGGTTCAACAACGATTTCAAACAAAAATACGCAGCCAATCTGTATTGCTACAAATACAGACTCCTTGAAATGAGTGTGGAGATCTTGAGCGATTGGGGCCCATGTCTGTGTAATTCAAGACAAGTTAGGTATTGTGTCAATTAGCTTTTTTTTTCTACACAGATTATTAGTTCAGTCGAATCCATTTTTTTAAGAAGCTGCAGAACGCATGCGCTCGTGTACCTTTGTGACGTAACTATCATACAGCCATATCCAAGTTACTCGATGCATTGTGGTTTTGTGTTGTTATCAACAGTGGCTCAGAACAAAATTTGCCTCTCTTGATGACAGTTTGTCTGAGTTCCTCGGACTGCGATTTACCTGAGTTTCATAGTGAGTACATACTTTATTTGACATGTTTGACCAACCACAGAAGTGGCTTTTGCTTTTGACTTTCAGCATGTTGACAGGGCCTCTCTTTGAGCCCGAAACGGTGCCCCAAACAATGGCACCTAATCTATGGAGGCCAACGTATGGATCCTACTTTACCTACGATGCGCCACCGTCTGAATCCAACAAGACCCACAGCTGTCCAGCAAAGCTGGTGGGTCCAATGTATGGCCGCTACGCCTCGCGGCCACCCCTCTTCGAACTCGACAGAACGTCCAGACCAGCGGTACCAAATCAATGGATGCCAACTTGTGGAGTTCTTTCTCTCTACGATGTACCACCGGTCGAATCCAATAAGACCAGTTGTCCAGCAGTGCTGACGGGTCCACTCTACGGCCAACATGACAGCCTGCGGCCACACCTTTTTAGGCCTATAACGATGCCCACACCAACGGCAGCGAATCCTATGCAATTCAACTCGGTCTGCAGCGTGCCACCGACTCAATTCAACGACACCTCTGGCTGTCTGGTGGAGCAGATGGGGCCACCACACGGCCCTAGTGGCACCGTCGTGCCAACAATCGGCCTGCTGACGGTTATACCAGCCCACCAGGAGGCTGTTGACCTGGTCTCACTACGCCCACCAAACACAGCTCCACCCTCGACATCAGACCGACCACCTATCCGTGTAATGCTGCCGAGCCGGCCGTCATTGATCATCCAAGTGCTCTGCGCCGGCGTCGGTTTCTGCTGCACCAGAGATGTTATAGCCGTACTCTCTGCAGTCATCTCCGCGTGGGGCGGCATGACTCGGAAGATCAAGGCAGCTTTTTCCAGATTGAAGAACTGGATTGTCGCTGGGACGAAGATGATCCACTGGCCACAACAAAGCCACCAGCAGTCCAACCTGGA